ATATTATTTATAATAATAATGATAGTGATTCTATTGTAGTAATAGTTTAATAGTAATTGTTATAATTTTTTGCTAATGTTTATTTTTATAATTAATGTCATTGTTATAAATTTTACTAGAATTATTTTTACCATTGTTTTTATCATTAGTTGAAATTTATATTAAATTTATCATAATATAGCTATTAAATGTTAAAGTAAATATCATGAGCTTTTATTTGTAATTTAAAAATATTCATAATATTTTCATAACTATTATTATTATTGCTGTTATTAATAATCTAACTCATTATCTTTTAGTACTTTATTATTTTATTGTTTTTTATTTTATGTATTTTGTTTTCTTTTGTTATTTACTTTCACTTTTATTTTAAATTTTATCTATGTTAGATTTACTATTTTTTTGTTTTAGGTGTCACTCCATTGAATTGTCACTTGTATAGTCTTTAACTATACAAGTGACACCTAACCTTATTTATGTAAATTTAAAATTTATTATTGTAAATTTCCATATTTTATGGTGAGATAAATGGACCAAAAAAAAAAAAATTAAAGAAACTTACTGGATGAGAAAGTTCAATAGGAGCTTCTTTATAAAATGTATCAATGTCTACCAAATCAATATCTTCATCTTTTGATCTTTATAAATATTTATAACAAATAATTACTATAATACACATGATTGTTTTAACAAAATTCTCTACCACACATAGCTGAATGCAAAATAAAAACTTCTTACGAAAAGTTGACACATTGCTGAATTTCTTTCTTGATATGCACAACTTCATACAAAAGATTTTGAAGTTCAAGATGAAGACTATCAACCTTTGATTTTGCCTAGAAGAAAAACAGTTCAGCTTAAAAACTTTAAAATTATGACAAAATATAATACTTTTATATTTAATATAATATTAAAAGCCAAAAAGTTATTTACTGCCTGAGTTTTTTCTGCTGCATTCTTTCCTCTCATTTGGGTAAGCCTGTTTAGTTTCTTTAAATTTGTAGCTAGAATAACAGCATCAATACGTTTTTCTTTGATTTCTTCACACTTTTATGAAAAAATAATGGTTAAATGATATTTTAACAATTTTTAATTTAACACATTCACGCCGGCGTGTACCACCGGTGGTACACACTAGACTGTCTCATTGGGCAGCGTGTACCACTGGTGGTACACACTAGACTGTTTCATTGGGCGGCGTGTATCACCGGTGGTTCTTCAGTCTTCTCAAAATAATTAAATTTGTGTGAAAACAAAATAAATAGATTAAATTTATGTAAAAATGAAATAGATTAAATTTGTGTGAAAATGAAATAAATAGATTAAATTTGTGTGAAAATGAAATAAATAGATTAAATTTTTGTCATTTTTTTAAGAGTATAACAACATTTAAATTAATGAAAAACTAAAAATTTTAATGAACAAAAAAATTTCCAGAAAACAAAATCATCAAATTTAAATAAAAAATTTGTATTTAACGTTTTTTTAAAATTTATATTATTTAATTTATATTAAGTTTTTATCTATTATTTATAGAACTAAACTAAATAAACTGACAAAACTGATATAATTTCAATTATTTAAAACTTTTAAAAATTATTTAAAATTATTTTCAAAATTTAAAACTTTTTATAATTGCTTTAATAATTTTAAATATTTCAATATACTTCAAGTTTTATCGACTTGAAATAATAATTTGATAACAAATACATACTCCGTCTTTGCTTTTTTTCAAATCATTTATATCACTGATAGCAACTTCAATATTACGACATGTGCGGCAAAACAAATCAACATCATCATGAGAATCTCGTGAAATGGCTTCTTGTTCTTCATATTGAAAGATTTGGCGATCTGTGCATTGCTTTTTTGTAGTAATTATCTAATTATAAAATTAAAAACAGTGTTTTATACACAATTTACTAATTATATGTACCATAATTGCAAATTATGATTGCTTTTTATGCCATCAATTAGTTTTCTTCTAAAAACCTTTTTTACTATTTCTATTTTTACTTGATATGTTTTTTAGGCTTTTAATAATATATATGCCTGATGGAGGTTTAAAATATAGTTATTTAGTATATTTATGAAATAAATATATTAAATAGTTGCAGTAGTGGCGTTTTTATTTTTGAGTGGCAATATTTTGCATTTGTGTTTGTGGTAAAAATATTTTCCAAAAATAATTGTTTTTATTTTATTTTTCAATCGAATAAACAATCAAAAGATTTTTTTATTGGATGCGGGAGCAAAACAAATATAGTTTTTTATAACTTAACAAATTTTTATTTATAAAGAGACCAAAGTTTTAAAATTTTAAAAAAATTGCAAATCTTTATTGGCGATTCTTTTTCAAAAAATTAATTAAAAAAAAAAAAAACAGTTTATTTTAAAAGAAAAATTACAAGACTGTAGTTCTGGTTGCAGATTTTAAACATTTTTTTAATATTATAGCAGGAATTTGTAAAACATTATAGCGGTGATTTATGGTTTCCCCAAATTCTAACTATGATAGTTCTGGGGCAACAAACAAAATAACAGTTCCAAAAAAAAAAAAATATGTATATATAACATTTGCAATAAGATTTTTTGTTTATTTCTTTTTTGACTTAATTATTGTTATTGCTGCGATACTGTTAAATTTTTAAATTTCTTTTATTTACACATTTAGAGTTTAAAAAATAAAAGACTTAAGATTTGTTCTGATTCTAAAAAAAATTTATGATAGCAGTCTTTCACACAACAGGATTTTATAAACTTTTTAATACTTTTTCCTTATATATTCTATCTTCTGGATCTGTTAAATATGGGTCTTTACCAAACCTACTATTTCTATACAAAGAGTTTCTTCTGACAATTTTTTTTTTATTGCTTTTTTCTTGAAATATGTAATAAGCATATTAAGGCATTTTGAAAACAGTTGCAGCATATATTTATAGTAAAAAAATTAATGTAGCAAATAAAACTTTCAATTGTCAAAAAAAAACTTTTAATTTTTTTTCTAGCTACGGGCTTTTTTCTTTTTTGCCTCCACAGCAGCACGTTCTGGAGTAGCTTATCAAGTCGTATCAATTTTTTTCTTTATTAAGTTTCAGACAACTTTTTTTTCAGACTATCCACAGCTTATTAGGACTAATTACCTGAGCACATTAATAACATAAGTAATCTTATTAACCATACCACATACGCAACATATTTACTCCCGGTGTTTGATGTTTTCAGAAATTTTAGCTTTTTTTAAAATCTTTTCATTTATTAAAGTGTATAATATCATTACATATGTTTGTATATAGTCTCTATAAAACTTTAAAAGTATTTTGTATTTTAAAACAATCAAAAAAAAATTAAAAAAAAAAAGTTGCCGGTTGTAAGACTCAAACCATGGCTTACTTGTTCAGAAGTTTGATACACTATCAACTCGGCCATGCTGGCACATTATTAAACAAAATTTTCAAAACTTTGTAATGATTTTTTAACAGAAATAAATGTTATAGATCAAAATTAAGGAGAGCTTGACGAAATGCAATTTTCAAGTGAAAATCAAACTGTTAAACTTGAAAAATGTTTCAGTATGTTTTAACATATTTTTACTTTATGTATGTTAGATATTTGCATACACGTTCATTAAAATTTTCTTATAAAACAAGGTGCTGCGACTCTTTCTCGCCACTACCTCCTGAGCACTAACAATACTACTACTACTACTACTACTACTACTACTACTACTACTACTACTACTACTACTACTACTACTACTTCTACTACTACTACTACTACTACTACTACCACAACCAACACTATTAAGTTTGGCAATAATATATAAGATTTATTTTTAGAGATTTTCTCAAAATGAGCTTTATCTTTTTTAAAATTTCTTTTTATAGCTTTTCTGTTCGAATGTTATATACTTTCTGTTAAAAAAGGTTTTAAAAGTAAGAGAGTTTAATTCAATTTACATTGAATTATGTTTCTTTTCTTTTTTTATACTTTTACTATTACAAACTGGCAGAGATTTTTATCTTTATATTTTTGTTGAATTGATTATGTATTTTATACAAATCTATAATATTAATCATAAAATAGTATTTAATAATGATTTTTAATGGTGTTTTGAACATTAATATAATAACATATAACTCTATTAATTTTTTGAGGCTAAAAAAATGTGAAAATAAACATAACAAAAAACTATTCTTTAAATGGATCCCAAACCTCCGAGACATGTTATGTTCATATTAAAGAGAATGATAAAAAAAAATGTTTGGGTTAAATGTTTTTTGATTAAAACAAAAGAATGAATGAATACCAAGAAAAACTAACTTTTTAATATTAGTCAAAGCTCGTCTTCTCCGTTTTATTGCACAAGAGATTGATTATGTAAACAAACAAAAGTCAATGACGTCATGTACTAAAACTTATAGAAACAAAACGTGCTTGAATAAATTATCAAGTCTGTAGATTGCAGCGTATATATTATGCTGACTTTTAGGCCTACAATAAAACGAAGGGTTTGGGATTCCTTTAAAATAAAATAAAAAATGAACACATGACCAAACCCTCCTCCGTTAAAACAGGTTTTCAAATTCCTTTCTCCTCCGTTACTAATCAATAGTAAAAAAACATACACACAAACACAATTTAAAAAAACATACACATACAAAAACAACAAAATTAGCAAACATCAGTTAAATAAACTACTTAATTTAAACCTTTGTAGAATTTCCCTCAGAATTTTCTGTCGAAAGATCTTTATCATTGACCACCAAAGTCTCACTGCTTCGTGTACTCATGCGTCGTTTAATGTCATCACTTTTTGTCTTCATCTCATTGTGTTAATTATTTATGTTAATCTATTTTTTGAAAAGAAAAGATAAAAAAACTAAAAACATAAGAGAAAACATAAAAATTGTAATAAAAATGATGATTTTAAGGGAAATGACAGATTATAACTAACATATTAAATATCTTAAAAGTGTAATTGTTAAAGATAATGAGATAATTACAATATCAATTTTTTTTTGTACAGATTATCAAATAATAATAGCAACAATAACTGATATCAATAATACTAATTTTAATTATATTAATAATACTAATAATAGCAATAATAATAATAATAATAATAATAATAATAATAATAATAACAATTTATAATAAAATAATAATAATAATAAAATAATAATAAAAACAAGAAACTATTTTCTAGTAATAAACAAAATTGACAACATATATATTCTTCATCATTAAAACAAGTACATAAAATTATCAAAATTAATTTTATATATATATATATATATAGTCTTGCATGTCTCTTGCGTAGCATCAAAAAATATTTCCCATAAACTGTAGTTTTAAAGAGCGCCTTAATAAACCAGACCAGAAAAAGTTTTAAAAATTAAATTTTTTTTTTTAATTGATAGACTGCCTGGCCAAACCAAACCCTCAGTCGATGTAGCAGCACTCTCTTGCGAGTCAGGCTATTTGTCAGTCGTTGTAGCAGCACTCCCTTGCGAGTCAGGCTATTTGTCAGTCGATGTAGCAGCATTCCCTTGCGAGTCAGGCTATTTGTCAGTCGATGTAGCAGCACTCCGTTGCGAGTCAGGCTATTTGTCAGTCGATGTAGCAGCACTCCGTTGCGAGTCAGGCTATTTGTCAGTCGATGTAGCAGCACTCCGTTGCGAGTCAGGCTATAAGATAGTCGATGTAGCAACATTTACGCATGTTTAAAAAATGTTTTTTATTAAATAAATAACAAAAACACCACTAATTAAAAAAAACTTTCTAGTCGTTATAATTGCGGTTTTTTAAAAATTTTTTAAAAAACAATTAAATTTAATGTACTTCCGCATAAATTAATTGCTTTGACATTTCGATGACAATCAAAAACAGCTTAAGAGACGAGGTAATTAAAATTGTAGTCGTAAGAGACTTTTTTTACATTAAAATGCTCTTAAAGCGACACTATATGAGTATATATATATATATATATATATATGTATATATATATATATATATATATATATATATATATATATATAATATATATATATATATATATATATATATATATAAATATATATATAAATAAATAAATATATATATATATATATATATATATATATATATATATATATATATATATAAATATATATATATATATAAATATATATATATATATTTTGCATTACTTAACATACATGAATAAACAGAGCAAAAATACCAACACTTGACATGATATATTATTAACTGATTTATTGTTGATATGGTGTTTGGCATATTTTTGTATTTAGTAAATGTGCAAACTGATACTGCTTATTTGAACTAAATTAACTGATAATCAATATTGTTATTAAAGAAAAAAAAAGAAGAAATATTATTTCCAAAACTCTTCAGTTTAAAAACTAAAATCAGTCAATTTAATAAAAAATAAATAATGAAAATTGATGTATATATATATAACAGTTAACAATAACTTATATTTTTAAACCAAAAAATATGATATATACAACATTTTACTTTTAAAAACTATGAATTTAAATTCTTTAATGTTTTTTGAAAAAAAAAATTTTTTTTTTCTTCTTCAATAGACAATTAAAAAATTCAAGCTAAGTTGTTATAAGATTAGCTAACTAATTTTTTTATAAAAGATTCTTTAACAAATTTAAATTGTTTAACCAATGTTAAACATTGTTAAAGATGTATGGAAAATTATTTAACTAATATGGAAAAAAGTTTAAAATAGTATAGCTGCAACATGGTATAACATAGCAGAGAAAGAGTAAAATTTTTAGCTGCAACATGGTAAATTATAGCCGCAACAGTGAAGCAATCTTAGCTGCAACATATGGTAAATCATTCTAATAATCATAGCTGCAACAGTGTGATAAATTATAGATTTAGCAACTGCAACAACAGGGTAAATAACCCAATAAGAAATACAAGTACATAGGCAGCAACTAGATAAAAAAAAAAACGTGGTGCAAAGACACTTCAAATAAATAAATTGCAGCATTGAAAATACATACAAAAACAATAGAAACTTCCTTCTACAAAGTTGAAAATAACAAAAAAACAATAAAAACTTCCTTGGTACAAAGTTGAAAACAACAAATAATGCTTTAAAAGTATATGTTTTCTTAAAAAAAAAAATTATTTTAACAAAAAAAAATTGAGTAAAAATTGAGTTGCACCATTTATATTCTCATTGACTTGATTGACTTTAATATAAAAATATATTTATGAATACTTTTTAAACCATAAACTAACCTCATTTTAGTAAAATCAACAAGGCTTACCAACCAAAAATAACTGTCCATAATAAGTTGAACAAGTTGTTAGTACATTTGCAATAATAGGTTGATTATAATACATACCAATCATATGAGATGATATATCAATTGTAGAAAAATTAATTGAATTACCTTGACTGAAGAATGTAAACTTTGATAAGCTGAAAAAGATGCAGATTATTTGCCACTTATTCAAGTTTTTGCAACTGGCAAAAAAAAAATCAGAAAGAAATTCATCAATTAATTTAAAGTTTGCAAAGCATAATTTGATATATACAAAACTATACAAGCATGAACATTACCAAGTTTTACTAAAATTTAATTATTTATAGAGAATAAAATAATAATATATAAAAAAAATAATTATGCTAATCATGATCAATTTTTGTAAAATAATACAACCATAATGTTAAGACAAAAAAGCTTTTCTAAAACAGCTTTTATGCAAAATCAAGTTAGTTATCTTTTTTATAAATTTTAAAATGCTGTTTTAGAATGTCAACTTATTAAAACCAATATTTATCAAACTTAGTGTTGTAACACTCGCTTCATTAATAAGAAATTCTGTGCGTGATTGTCACCACATCCCTGTTAATACAATTCCACCTTTGCAGCAACATTATTTGTCAAGGTATTTAGAGTTAAATAATAAAAAAAAATCTTTAACTGTAATTACCTCCTTAATCTTCACAAGATAAATAAAAAATATTAAAAAATAGAATATTATAAATATTCCACAGTGTTTTTGAAGTAGTCTTGTCAAAAACTCAGTTTAAATCTTTTTTCTATTGTGTTTATACACAACATATATAGCTAGGTATTATTATTATTTTTTTTTTTTACAAAAACAAAAAAACATGATTTTGAGTTCACAATTCGAAAACAATCAGTAAGTCATATACATACATACAAACACACACACACACACACACACACACACATAAACACACACATATATATACAAACCTTCCCAGAAAGCGTGTGCGGTTGCACGTTTCTGTCCATAATTAAAGCTATTTTTTTAGACACACTGACCACAGCATTTAGCATTTTTTAACTTTTAAAACATTTCAATAATTTGCAGCAAAAACCTAAACTAATATACTGAGAAAAAAAAATCAATACTAAAAAACAGAAACAAAATTGTAATGAAATAATAAATTGTAATGAAATATCAAATTTTAATTGAATAAACTAGAAGTTTAATATAGTTAATTATAAATAAATAGTTAAAATTAAAAAAATTTTAATTAAATAAACTAAAGTTTAATAGTTAAAATTAAAAAACTAAAAAAAAAAAATTTTTTATACAACTTTTGCATTCTTTTTTTAGGGTGGTTGTTATTTTTAGCTACAGCATTTGATACAAGTTGAGGAAAAAAACATTTTTTATAACAACAATTTTATAAATTTTAACAACAATTAAAAGTTTTGATATGTAATTTATTCTTAATTTTTAAGAAACTAATTTGCTATGTAATCTACTATGAGAAACTTTGTTAATTATTTTATTTACGTTTATAAGTTAGTATGCAATTTAATCGCCACTTTTAAGAAACTTATTTGCTATGTACGCTAGAACTATGAGAAGCTTTGTTAATTTTATTTCTTATTTTTATTGGTTTTCACCTCTTTTCGCTTTTATAAACGTTTTTACTAAATTTGATGATTTTTCTAAATACTTATATAATAGGAAAATTAGGAAAAATTTTTTTTGTAAAATATATTATTTGATTATTAAATTTTTTAATAACGGAAGAAATTAAATAAATGAGTACCATGGTTTATTTTATAAATGTATTTACAATATTTGATAAGTCTGAACTTGTTTCATTTATATTGCCTAACTTTCAAAGTTAATACAAATTACTAGAGATAATGAAGATAACAATTGCTCTGTTTGAAAAAATGTATTTAAAAACTTAAAAAAATGTTTAAAAAAGGCTCCAAAAAATTTTGTTAAAAAAGTTCAGCAAATCAACAATCCACTAGCCCAGAACCCAACAAAAATGCAGACTATTTCAATGGGGAAAAGGGAAACAACAAAAAGTTTTAAATTTGAACATTAGTATTAATAATTTTTTTATTTTTTACATGAAAAAATTACTTGAAAAATTTTTTTTTTTTACAAATAAATAGCAATTAAATTTTTTTACAGTAAAGTTTATCTTAAACATTTGAAAAACAAATTTTAAAATTGTCTTTATTTCCAGCGCAAATAATAAAGTATTTTCTTAACAAAAATCAGTCAGTATATTATGGAAATCAATTTTGAAAGTGGAAAATAACAAACGCCCTAAAAAAAAGAAAAGAAAAGAAAGCTGAAACAGTAAAATACTTAAGTATATTATTTTTATAACAAAATTTTTCTTTTTTTAATTTTTAATTTTTTTTTTTGTTTCTTTAATATAGATTTTCTATTTCATATAGTATTCGTTTCCTTTTTTTGAGTATTGCTGTTTTATTCTCTGTAGTTTCTTATAGGTTTGCTAAATGTAATCATCAAGTAAAAATATGATTTTTCTTGTGGAAAAATAAATTTTGACAAGAGAAAATAATGTATCAGAAAAATTTAATCTTTTGATTTGTATTATCAAAATATTTATTAACAAAAATTTGTTCTCATGCCAACACTTGGATATTAGCTTGGTTTTTTTGTTTAGAAAAAAAAAACAAGCTAATATCCAATTAATATAAAAAAATTCTTTGGGATTTTTATGCAATAAAATTATTATTTTTTTGTATAAGCATTTTTATATATTACAAGCAGGGGGGCGTTTTATGATTGACCATGTTAAATTGAGTTTTTTTAAAAATTTATCCTTTGTATTCCATAGGTATTTTGAAAGCGTGGTTGTGTTTGTAAGTGTTTTGTTTTTGAACGATTTCTTGTGGTTTGCCTATCTAATTTTCCACTCAGTTAAACTAATATATATTTTGATAGAGGTGTTTAGGAACAATGCAATACACCTCTTGTTCTATCTATTGGTCAGTCAAAGTACTCTTATCTTCTAACTATTAAACAGCAAAAGAATAAAAATAAACAATCCAGTCTATTTTTTTATGTTTTTGTGGCTTTTTAAATACGATAAAATTCCTCAATTAAATTTTATGATTTTTACATATGATATGAAAAAACTGATTAATTTCATTGTAAAATAACATAAGTAACATTAAATAACAACAATATATAATACTAATAATAATAATTATAACAATAATTAAATAACAACAAAGCAAAATTTTTATAAATTTGATTTATTCAATTTAAACCTAGATTTTAAGCAAGTATTTATTTGGAAGAATCAAAGTAAATAGCAAAAGGATGCAATGTTGATTGACTGTTGTTCGAATAGAAATCTTGTACTGCATCTTAAATTAAAAAACTGTAATTTTCAGTAAAGTCAAGTAATGCTAAAATATAATTACTTGGTAATGGTATTTTTAGATGCTGCAAATATGCTGCTTGATTTTTGGCTATACTATGGTGTTCTTTTAATTGATCTATTTGGTGACAAGCTTTTTCAATAAAATCACACACTGGAAAGGTTACTGGAACTATATCATGTTTTTTTGTTGGCTTTTTGCCACTGATTAAAGGTAATATCTTCGATGCTGTGTCTATCAAACAAAGCAGTAAGATACTCTTTAAATGTGTTGGTATCTGGGCAGTTCTTGCAATTGTGCAGCATGCAGTCTCGGTTTGTTAAATCTTATACAACTAATGTCAAGAGGTCCTGAAATATCTGGTATTTGTAATGCTAAATGTTTTGCATTCTGGTGGTACTCACAAATACATACTTAATGGAAACCTGAAGCACCTCCAATAGGAATAAACAACTTTGGTCTAAGTTTTTTAACAAAAATCTATTTAAAGGATTCAATGTTTATATTGATTGTTTATTACACTTTGGGTAATTTGTTCTGAGTTTGTAAATTCCCCATGAGTACCCACTGTTTTTTTTTTCTAAAATCACTGTAATAAAGTCTATTGAATTAGAAGAAAAAAAAATCTTATTAAAACCAGTGTTAATCCTAGGTTACCAGTGGTTTGAAGTGGAGGCACATTTTCCTAAGATTTAGCCGCAGCCATTTTTAGAAGTCTATAATTTTTTACTGAATTGTATCTTATCAGTAAATTTCTGAAAAATTGGAAGCCTACCATATGAAGAAACTAAAAAAAATATGTCTTTTCACTTCTTAAACTGTAGCTTTTGTATATTGACTTTTTATATTTGCAAACATTGTTTAAGGTTTTTTAAGTAGCCATTATGAAAAAAATGTGACATTGGATAATTTAATGTCAAAGTTTTGTTAAAGTAAGTCTAAAGTTGTATACAATATAAAAAACTAAAAGGTTTTTTTAAATTTTGTTTTCAAAATATAAAGCATTAAAGTATGAACAAAACATGTTTTTGCTACTGAAGTTTTTATTTTTGGAAAAATCAGAAATTTTAAATGACCATATTTCATGAACCACAAAAGATTTTATCCTGAAATTTTTTGAATTGCTTTTCTCATTGATACTAAAAAACCTACAAAGTTTTATCAAAATCTGAGGGGTCCATGTTGAAATCCTAAAAGTTTGGTCCATGGAATGACCAAACTTTTAGGATTTCAACATGGACCAGTTGCTTTAAGCGCTTCTTTTATAAATAATTTTTATAAAAGTCTTCCTAAAATTAAAAAAAAAGTTCACAAGATTACTAATGATTTTGAGGCAATAAAACAAAAAATGAAATTCAAAAATGGCTATTATTATTATAGTTCTATCACTATCATCTTTGCTATATAATCTTTAATAAAAATTTGATTTCTTTTTGCTTTTTAACTGAATTTGTTATCGGTGTAACTTACCACCTTAAAAAATACCTGATATATTTATCTGCGACAGTTTTAATACCTAGTTTTCAATGGTCTTTGTTGGATCATATGATTCCATTTCTTTACCATCAATCTTGATATGCATTTGTTATGTTAGTAAATAAATACTTAAATTCTTTATTTTGTCTTAATGTTTTTCATTGGGCAGAAGCTTTATTCTGCATCAGCTGAACTATGGTACAATAAAAAGTTGTCCAGTGAAATCATTCTCTTTCAGTATATATCCAATCTGATTGGATATTTTCAACGCCTACTTGTTTTATTAAGTACTATATAGTATATGGTCAGCAATATATCCAGGCTGATTTTGATACCGGTATACCG